TATTTTTTTATAATATATAATAGTATATTATTATTTCAGTAAAAAAATTGTATATTATCATTATATAAAATTGTCATTTGATCACATATTACTATATTGTCATTTTATCATATATTAGTATATTTGATAATCATCTTATAATTCACATTAAAGTTAACTAACTCAATTGGTTGAACAATTTGACTTATTATTATTATTATGATATTTTTATGAGTTTAATATGATAATAAATATACGGATTTAGAAATTCATTTTGGACCATTAAATCTTCTCAAGTTATTTCTTTTTAAGAACTATAAAGATTTGTACTAAAATAATGGATGACAAAAAGAACAACAAATCTTAAACATATAACAAATCTTGAAAAACTATTTTTGCAATTCCTAATAAAATCCATCCACATTAAGATTACTTATTAATATCACTCCTATAAAGTTTTATCATGTTTAAGAATCGATATCAATAATCATTTATAAATATCATCTTCTTTAATTAATCAAGGTACCATTTTATGAATAAAATCATAATATCTTAACAAATACTAAAATAAATAATATCTTAAATAGAGTATATTAATTATGTCACTTCACTTAACATCATTATAGTTGTGAACTCCATTAGTAAGGAGTTCTATTCCCATTTATAAAAGAAAAATAAAACAGAAAATTAATTCAAATAATTATAGATAATTGGAGTATTTGGATCAAATGGTTTCTCTCCAAATACCAATCCAATCCGCTACTTGATTTAATAGTTTAGAATTCGGATAATTACATAAAATTTGATGCAAATTACTGTGATGTCCTTGCTATCCTGTTCAAGTCCGAACAGGTGGATCAAATCTAAAGATTCCAAAGAGTAATCATGATGTATTTCACTGCAAATTAATCCGAGTTTTTCATTTTAGGGTCTGGACTTACTAAGGTTCTAAGCTTGGTATTTGCCTTCTATTGTTTGTTCGGCCACAATGCTCTCGGTTGTATACTTTTCAATGAAATGTTTGTACCAACTTGCTGAGGATTTTGGGGTTTTCTTCAGTGTGGCGAAATCAACGTGGTGAAGTCCAAATCTCAATGAAAACCCAAATTTCCACTCAAAGTTGTCGAGCAAGGACCAGGCAAAGTAACCTCTCACATCTGCTCCTTCCCTGATCACATCAACAACACACAAATACTTAGGTCCAAGGTCAAGGATAAAAAATAAGAGTTAATCACGGCTGGTGTGAAGCTTTTTTACACCGGCAACCAATCAGATATGTTAATAGTGTCTTTTTTATTTTAATTTAATTAAATGAGTAAATGACATGATATTATTGATTTCTAGTATAAAAAAACTTTACACTAACAGTGTATAAGTGATTAACTCAAAGAATAATGTCATGATTTATTTATCTATTCTTATTCTTATATGGGTGGATATATATGTTGTTGTATATAGTGCGTACCTTATTGCTGCCATTAGGTTATCTAAGTGACCAGACATGTACTCTATTCTCTTAAAATCATTAAGATATTCTTCCTCGGTAAGATCTGGATCATTCAAATTGCCATATCCTACAAAAGGTTGGGTAGTCAGAAACGCTCAGAGACTCAATGAAAGGTGTTAACGTGCTTTGCATACCATTTTCGGTGATGAACATTGGAGTGTTATTATATCTGTCTTTTAGATAGATAAGAATTTTCTTCATGCCTTGTGGATAAACGTTGAGCCAATCACATGGAGTCTACATAAGAATACCAATTTCCATTAAACCTGCTTGGTTATGCAAGGTTAAAATATGAGGATCATAAAAAAAAGTTTAAGTACTTACAAGCTCTCCAATTGGGACACCGTTTTTTAGTGAAGTTTGTTGATATAAACCCTCTGTTCTGGTGACTCCTTGCCCAGATTCACACACGGTTGATATGCAGTCTCGGACATAGTAACTTGCATAGTGGTTTATGCCAATGAAATCCAGTCCTCTCCTCAATTTAGCTTTGTCATTGCTGGAAAATTTAGGTAAGATGGTTCCTAGAATCATCTCCATCTCTTTTGGGTACTTACCGAACAAGATTGGATCCAATATCCTGCATCATTATAGTGGAATTTTTATTTCTATACGATAGAATCAAATGTCATACCAGCATTGCATGGCAGTTGAATTAGCTGTGAACAATATTAGAGATACTAGATATTGATTTAGTTTGTTATAATTAGGTAGTTAGATTGTTAGCAGTTGGACTCCCTCTTGTATATAAAGCTAGATGGATTCTCAATTGTATTTCCTTTCTCATTTTGTCAATGATTAACGATCTGATTTTGAGTTCGACAGGAATGGATCTGGCAAAAAAATGAGACAGAATATGTATTTCAGAATAAACCATCTGAGCATGAGGGAAAATGTGATAGAAAGTAGAGAATGAAGAGAATTAAAAGGAAAAGAGATAGAAGGTAGGAGAAAAAGATTTCCCTCAACTTTTAGAAGAAAAGGATGTCAAGGCTCTGATACCAAGTTGAGAAACTTGGTAAAGCCCAAGAAGAGAGGAATTCAAAGAATTAGACAGAATATCAGAACTTCTATTATTAGTAAAATGAGGAAGAAGATAGAATTGAGAATCCTCCTAGTTTTATATACAAGAGAGAGTTCAACTAACTAACTACTAAGAATCTACCAAACTAACTATAAGTCTATAACCTACTAAATCAATCTATCGATCTCTAATATCTGTCATAAACATTGATGAAATTTTTTACCATTTAATGTTGAATGATTGTGCTCTTTCAGTGGCCAATTTATCTTCTGTGGAATTGCTTAACGGCTCAAACCAGTCACAGTGTAGGACAATGCCTATTTTCCCCCCTTGCTCAGTCTGGATATGGCATTTATAATAGAGCAAGTTTATAATGTTTTGGATGAGTTTCCGTACCACTTTTAACTTCGATTCGTAAAGCCAGCATCGCAATTCATTGCTTAAATGGAAATTTAACAGATTTGCGTCCCTACCTAGAATGCTTCGATATTTTTTTTAATAGGGGTTGTTAGTGTCATGTTCTAACCAAATTACCTGGTATTTGTTTCTATACATATCAACTACAGCTGCATGTGATAGGATCATATTATGGGCTGCCACAAAAGGTTCTTTCTCTGAATCTCCCTCATTGCAATCTCCAAATTTGCTAGAGCAACGGCATGGTGGGAATATACCTATACGATAGGCAAGTGGGACTATATAATTTGGCTCATTGAAGGTGACCCAATACTTGACTCTGTCACCCAAGTATTTAAAACAGATATCCGCAAAGAATTTAAAATCTACAATCCTTTCAGCTCATTATTAATTTTTTATTGATATAGTAAAAATCTTCACTTTTATAACAAAGAAAAATACATATCAATAATAAAAATTACTAACGAAGATATAAAAAGGACAAAAATATTTGAGATTTAATTTAAAATAAATTTAATATTAAATACACAAAATTGAAACACCTATCATATTAACACAAAATGATAATATTAAAA